CTGCGGTATTTTCTCACGATGACTCAGGGAATAACCTGAGTGCGTGAGCGTCGATGTCCCGGCTGGCCGCACTATCTGTGGGACACAGATAGATTCCAAGGCCGTGTCCTCCTTCGTCTTCGCAGGCACAGATGAACCCAGTCTGGTTTCTTGCTGAGATACCTCTGCTGGGCTCAGGCTTGGATATGTCTGTCTCTCAGGCGTGCTCTTGCGACCCTGTGTGCTCTGGAAAGTCGCTCAGCCCTCTGAACTTCAGTTTCTGGGGACTCACGTAATGCCCCCTCCGGTTCCTGCCCATTTGCCGGACCCAGACAAGTGACACCTGCTGATTCCTGGTGAACTAGGAGAGCGTAGGCACCGCCGAGAAGGGTCCTGCTCCTATTTGGACAAGGTGATTTTAGTACGGTGAGAAACACTCCTCTCCCTTCCTTCAGCTGTACGCTTCGCACCTAACAGCTATCCATGCTTCCATAAGCCTAATACAGGCAAGCCGTGTGAACCACCACCCTTCTGGCCCTTCAGCCATAAGCACAGACCATCCCGCGATTCTTCAGGCTTAAGTTTAGGAGGTCACCCAGATTGCTGACCTCTAAAGAGAAACACGGTGGGAGCCACGTAAGGCCAGTGGATGTCTGACCGCGTAAATACTGGAAGCCAGAGCTACAGGGCTCTTTTCTGCCCACCTCCCCCACTTCGGCCTGTTCCTGCTGCTGCCCTGAGATCTTCAGTGAATATAAGAACATACAACGACATGTATACTTGGCATTTCTTGCCTTGCCCTACACAAGAACCTGGACCACTTTGGTGCACTCAACTGTGTCAGCTTTTGTTCTGTGGCTCGGTGTTCCTCGCTCTCAGCTGGGTTCTGAGAAGTAAGAGTGCCAGTGGAGCGTGACCACTGGCGCTAGAAGTGCTTGTTGGTGCTTGTTGGAAGTAGCCAGACGCGATGGCGCACACCTGGAATCCCAGCACTCAGAAGGCTGAGGCAGGAGAATTGCTGAGAGTTTGAGATGAGCCTAGGCTACAAAGTGAGTTCAAGGCCAGCCTGGACTGCACAGTGAGACCCTCTCTCAAAAAGAAAAGAAAAAGAAAACTATTCTTCATTTAAATAGCATTAGAGTTTGCTTTTCTTTTTAACATGTATCCATGTATTTCTTTTTTTTTTTTAATTTATTTATTTATTTTATTTATGTGTGTGTGTGTGTGTGTGTGTGTGTGTGTGTGTGTGTGTTTGTGTGGCCAGCTCAGCCCGCCTGGGGGCGGGGCTGGCTGGCATGTGGTGCTGGGGGATTGAACCGCGGTCCCGTGCTTTGCTAGGCTTGTTCTAGGTAGGTGCTTTAGACCACTGAGCCATCTCACCAGCCCTGTATCCATGTATTTCTGACCATTCCAATGTTGCAAGTAGCAATAAAAATATGCATGCGCTCACATGTGTGTGTGCATCTTTCTGCATTAGTCTATTTTCTGTTGCTATAGTAGAATATTTTTTAAGACACACTTTAAAAAGAAGAAGAAGAGAGAGAGGGAGAGAGATGTATTCTGCTCAGTTTTAGAGGCTGAAGGTGTACACGGGCCCTAGCCTATCAATTTCTGGTGACGGCCTCATGGTAGACGGCTACAATGTCAATGATGAGAGTTCAAATAGTAGAGATCACATGGTGAGACAAGAAGCGAAAGGGACTCAGGAGCCAGGCTCGCTCTTTGTATAACAGCTTAATTTTATTTTTGTTGCAGTTCTAGGGATTGAACCCAAGGCCTTACACACGCTAGGCAAGCACTGTACCCCTGAGCTTCATCCCCTGCCCTCAGCTTGCTCTTTGGAGAACCATGGTTCCTCAGAGAGCTACATTAATCCCTCCCAAGGGCAACCCCAAGGACGTAGTCACCTTGCACCAGGCCCCACCTCTGAAAGGCCATGGAGAACTGAAGCCAAACTGTAGCACCTGCAAAACTCAAAGTTCCAAAGAATGTGCAATGTCAGGCCTCAGTTGATGTGTACGTCACTAAGGGTCATTCAGAGATGTGCACCTTCGATCCCAGACAGCCTGTACCTTCACGGACATCCCTCATCCTGGCGTGAGTTCTGCCAAACGCTGTGCTCTCTCTGCCCTCCCATCCACCCCCATCCACATTCTCTCTCTTTCCACTACCAGGGCCGCCTTGAACTTCCTGCAGTGGGCTCCTTCCCAGCAAGTCTACAGCCCAAATAGTCACTGCTTCCCTGAGGCACAAAGTGGCGGTAGGTGCCCTGCTGTTCTAGTCCTAAAATGCCTACAGAAAGGTGGATGACCGCCATAGCCACTCTGATCTGTAGTCATCTCTTCACACCCCCGTCTTTCCACTGCAGCCCGGTTCTTCTTTTTTTTTTTTTTTCGGATCTTCTTGAAAGCCCTAGAACATCTCATTCCTCTTGGGTCCCGAGGTCCATCCCAGGGCCTAGGCATTTGGCTCAGTGGTAGAATGCTTGCCCTGCAAGCTGGAAGCTCTGGGTTCAGTCCTCGGCACCAAAAACAAAAAAATAAACCTCCCCTACAAAAACAATTCAACCAAGGTCCGGCACAGGACTTTGCAAATAGTACATGTTCAAAAAATGGTAGGTGAACCGAGAGAGTTTTGGCACCCCCGTGGATTTTGTTAAAACAAAAATTTTGTGTCACCGAAAGTAAACTATCCTGAATGATAAGGACTTCCATGTGTGACTCCACTTGGAAGACTACCCTTGGAACTTGGAACTTTACTATTCATAGGTATTTAAAATGGCAAAGCTCTGAAGAGTCAGGATGAGCAGGCCTCGGTCACATAAGCCAAAGCCAGAGGCAAAGAGCTCGTAAGAACCAGGTCAACCATTAAGGCCAGGGATGTAACAAGCGACATAATAAGAAAGGTGACGGATGACCACTATGACAGCTTCTGCCCCCACTTGTGGAAAACATTTTACCCCTCTTACTTTGTTCTTTAAATACATTACTGAGGGCCGGGGAGGTAGCTCAGTAGAATAAGCACTTGCCTGGCAAGCACAAGGTCCTGAATACCACCAAATAAATAAATAAAATAAAATACATTACTGAGATAGGACCGTGGTCAAGAGCACCTATATGCTTTCTGTATGCCTGTAGTCCTCATTGGCCCATTTCTAGCTTTTTGTTTTGTCTTGTTTTTTCCGGTACCGGGGATTGAATTGAGGACCTTGTGCTTGCCAGGCAAGTGCTTATTCTACTGAGCTATCTCCCTGGCCTGGCCTACTTCTAGTTTAAGAAAGCTTGTTTTAGTCCCTTAGGTATTCCTTAGGCTGACTCAGAGCAGTCTGAATCCTGGTCATTTTTCAGTATAAAAGCTTCCTAGACAAAGAGTTCCCATGGCAACTCCTTTCTGGATCCCTTCCCGACTGTGGGAAGCTGTTTCTCTCTTCCTAATACACGCTTCTCCTGTCTACCTCCTTTGTCCTCAACTTCATTCTTCGATCTCATGAGACACATACCCAGACTGCGTCGCTACCCCTGTACCTGTCAAGGATCAGGCGTGGGAAAGTAGCTGTGGATATTATTCTGGTGAAGGAGAAGAGGGGATGTCAGTTATGGGTTCAGCAGGAAAAAGTTTGGAGAAATTGCTTCTCCGTGCAAGAAAAGAAAAATCTAAGTTTTAAAGTTTTATTTTGCAGTGTGTTGTGTCACCACCAACTCCACTGGCTACAGGTAATTGCAGGACATTTTTCAGTAACCCTAAGGAACCCTGTACCTGGTAGCAGCCACTTGTCACTTTTCCTCACGCCCAACTCCCCACAGTCACTAGCTTCTAGTAAAGGGGTGGCCAGATAGTTCAGTGAATTAAAGCACCTGCAAACAGGCGCAGGGGCCCGGGATTTGATCTCTGGGCCTGCTGTGCGGGCCCCGCCCTTGGGGCAGTTGAGATTGCAATTGAGACTGGGCGTGGTGGCACACGCTTGTAATCCCAGCTCTTGGGAGGCTGTGAACAGGCGGATCACCATGAGTCTGATTTTT